TTGGCCTTGGCCCATCAATCCAGCCTGTCCAGGTCCCTCTGCAGAGCCCTCCTACCCTCGAGGGGATCAACACTGCCGCCCAACTTGGTGTCGTCTGCAAACGTACTGAGGGTGCACTTGATCCCCTCATCCAGATCATTGATAAAGATAATAAACAGAACTGGCCGCAAAACTGAGCCCTGGGGAACACCACTCGTGACTGACTCCCAACTGGATTGAACTCCATTCACCAAAACTCCTTGGGCCTGGCCATCCAGCCAGTATTTTACCTAGCAAAGAGTACACCTGTCCAAGCCAACTGTTGACTTGCAACAGATCGCATGAACCACCTTGATGTTTTTTCAATTCCCTTGTACAAGACCAACAGAACAGGTTTGAAAAGACTCCTACGTCTAACTATGTCCAAGATCTGTTTTTGGGGATATTTGAGTAAAGCTCAAAGTGGAGCTGATGGGCATTCCTATTCTGTTTAGAGCTTGTCAATGTTTACTAGAGCAGCACTCTGCATCTTCCCTCAGCCCAGCAGAGGGTTCTTCAGAAAACCAACCTTCTGCTTATGAACAAGCTAAGGTCTCAAGTTCTTGGATGTCAGCTGTTACTCAGTAAATGCAAGTTTAACCTGTTTAGACTGGTAGCTTGCTGGGTTTCTTTTGGTGCAAAACTCCCAGTTCCCTGAGTAAGGTGGAGGCAGGGGTGAGTGAGGTCAGGATGGGAGAATCATTTGGCTCCGTAGTGAATAGGGTTGCATGGAACTTGAAAAACTGACACTTTCTGTGGAATAATTGATGATTTTTATACCTACCAGAGAAGGAACAGAGTATAATGTAGTCACATCTCTGGTACACTTTGGGCTCTTATTTATACTACCTATGTAGAGCAACTTGTACTTAAATGCCAGTTGCTGGGATTTTCTATCGTACTCTGCAACACGCACTCTGCTTATTCTGCACCTTAACAATTGCTTAACTTCTGTCTGGGTTGATGATCCTAACACCATTCTGTCTTACAGAGAGAGTGTGATTTGAAGCAACGCTAATTAGAATATGCAGTTTCTGTAGCAGTGTCCATTAAACCAGCCAAACATTGTTAGCCCTGCAGTAAGGATGGAGTCTAAACAATGCTTGAGCAAAATGGCAACACATTAAAGAAAATTTAGAACTTTGTATGCTTGCAATGTGCTTGTTTGGGAACCATCTGTATCTACCTAATGCTTGTGTATCCTTGTCTGCTTTGTTTTTTTCTGCCTTCCTGGCTGGCATCTGTTAGCTTTCTCCAAGCCCAACTCCTGCTACTCAGAGTCCCAAGAAGCCTCCAACAAAGGACCCATTAGCGGATCTTAACATCAAGGATTTCTTGTAAACGATAAGGTATTCTGTGACTGCCTGCCTAAGCATGTTATGCTGTGGTAGGTGTCTGGCACGCAGCTGTTGATTAGGCCGGTAGATTGAATATGACTGATAAAACTGTAGCTGCAGAGATAGGTAGGAACGTGCACTGATAACGTGGTGGTTTAAACAGAAACCCAAATTCTCTGTCCACACTCTTAATTTTAGCCTGAAAGCTTGACTTTTGGCTACTTTTTTTGCCAGAAGTGACTGCCAGGAAAAGTTATCTTCAATCTGTAACTTCCATTCTTGCCTTGTTTCCATTCAATCCAAAGGTTCATGTTTTGGGGTTTATTTTCCTGAAATTAATACTGAAACAAATAGAATCGTAACAGGGTACAAATACTGGGGGCAAAATGGTGCTGGAGAGGCTTGTTCCAGTCTTGTGGGTGTGGAAACAGATTTGGTATCACAGGTGTGAAGGGATCAAGAAGAGGAAAAACTTACATATCCTAGTCATCAAGGGAAGGTTGTTTGCATCTCTTAACTGCTGCCAGCTAATGTTCTCCCCCACCATATAATTTTTCAAGGCACTGCTTTTCTGAATGCTAAGGCATGAGGTCCTGAGCAATGCCGTGTAGAACAACAGTGGGGAAGAACAGAGGAGTAAATAAAAAGGAAAAAATGGAGAAGCAAAAAAACCCAGTACTGCAGAATAGAAGGAAAAAAAGGCAAAAATATTACTGTGAGGGTTTTGGAGAAGGATGTAAAGAGGGCCAAGTAGAAACATCAGATTGAATTGAACACTTCTGCATCATTATTTTTTAATTGGCTTAAGTACGGTAGGCATTTTATAATTAAGACTAGAATAATTTGCCAGGTGAGGAGAGGACAATCATTACATGTCTTCAAAGCCTTCTTCGTAAGTTCCTTTTCTTTCTACCTAGAGCTTAATTCTAATACTTGTTCTAAGCCTCCTCCGCACTGGAGTTAGCGGCAGTAGATGGGATCGGGCTGCTCTTAGCAGACACCACCCAGTCCCACTTCCCCATTCTCCAAATTCCAGCCCCAGGGAGGTGTAACTGGTGCTTGGTGGAGATGGCCAGCAGTGGAGATGCACCTTCATTGCTAGGACTCACTGCTTTGGATTTGGGTTTGTAGTAGACAGACTCATAACCGCCTGTGGGAGGACTGCTGCTTCACTAAAAACTGATAACTCCTTTGAGGTGTGAAGTGATGAGCAGATTTGGTGCTTTTTCTAGAACGTGCTTTATCTAACTCATTCCGGTTTTCATCTAATACTTTTTTCTGTTTTCACAGCTGCAGTTTTTCTGACTGGATGGTAAAAATGTGAGTTTGGAGTCTACAAACAGATGCTCAGAGTTTCAAAGTGAGCCACCAGTACCAAACCCAGTGCTTACTCAGACTTTCTCTTCCTCCTGAAACGTGTAGCACAGCTGTGAAAGTGAACATTAGGAATGTGTACTACCTTAGCTGTTATCCCTACTCTCTCGAAATTTGTGTACTTGGGTTATTTGTGTTTTACAATTTAAACAATGGATGTATGTTTCTGATGCCTTCTAGTGCTTTTCTGAACCTATCCCACAGGGGCAGATTATGCAGCTGTTGTTTGGTGAGCAATTTGGAGCGATGTCTGTGGTTTTTGAAGGTTTCAATGTATATAACTTTTTGAGGACACCTAAAATTTCCCTAAGACTCAATTTCTCCTTTATCTGTTATGAAACTTAGTGTGATAATACCAGATAGTAAGGAAAATACTTATGAAATTGCGTGGAATACATTTTTTCTTTTCCAGTCACAGGAATCTCAATTGTCGTGAAAAAATGTTTTATTTTTGTGGCACTGTATATGCTAAGATAATTTAAAGTAATATAAAGGTAAACTTCCATAACAAATACTTTTTCGATGACTTACAAGAATGAAAAATCATATCTGAAAGAATACCATATTTATTGCTGTTTTTTATTTTAAAATCTATTTTAATTATTTAAGTTTTTGCATTTGAAATTGGCGTATTTATCAGTTCTTGCTAAATGCACTGAAAATAAGTAAAGGGTCAGTTTCTCTCCATGAAGTTGGACAAAGCAACCATAGTTGTGCTGGCATTAAGGGATTTCAAATATGAGAGCACTCTTTGGTATATCTGTAGTCAAAACATTACAAGTGATGTTACTCATCTCTGTTCAGTTCGTACATACATCTCTTAATTTAGTGCTTACCTGTGTATGCCTTAGGCTAGTGTTTTCTCCATTGCCCCAAATGCGCTGTGAGTAGCTTTTGTACTATTGGTGATTAGATTTAATTCTGATCCAGAGATCCATGCCCTTTACTGTACATGCTGTGTTTCTTTAGTTTTTATTTGTTCTCATACTGTTTCTGCTGATGGCTTGGCGTAAGAACTTGACTCTTCAATGAGGTCACTGTTGATCAGTGTTACAAGTGGCTTGGCAGTTCTCTGTAAAGGCATATCGGGTCGGAAAAATACTCACCTAAAGTCTTTCAAATGAACTATTTAATCAATGTATGGTACCATTAAAAGTGGTTGTATCTGAATTTGCTGTGGGGATAACATACACCGTAATGGGAAAGTTATATAAAAAGCTAATTTCAAAATGGCTCTTCTTTGTATTTCAGTTTAAAAAAAAACAAAAAACAAAAACCCAAAAAACAAAAAACCCCAGTGCATGTGTGCCCTCTGAGATGCAATAAACACCTTGATCAAAGTCAATATCTTGTTGCCAGTTTCATGATCATTGAGATGTTGAGCACAATAATACACTTTGAGAGGGGGAAAAAATGTGTATAGGTCCTGACACTGATGCTGAGTCTGCTGCACATGGTAATAACTTTTGCTGATCTTTAAGCAGAACAGGAGAGATCCATACAAAGCCAGACTGAGCACAAAGCCACAAGTAAAGTGGGGAGAGGGAGAGGAGAATTCTCTAGTTTGATGTATAACACCTCAGGAGGCTTCATTAAAGCTCTTCATCTCCTTAAACTAGAATAATATTGGCACTGTGAAAGTTTATAGTACTGGCCCTGATCTCTTTCCTATGAGGTATCATTCAACAGCTTATTGAGAGCTAGGACAGCTACGATGCTACAGGAATTGCTTGTGCTATGGTTCGTCTTATGGCAGTGTGCTGGCTTTGGCTGGGGTTGAGTTAATTTTTCTTCACAGTATCTAGTATGGGGCTGTGTTTTGGATTTGTGCTGAAAACAGTGCTGATAACACAGGGATGTTTTAGCTATTGCTGAGCACTGCTTGCACAGAGTCAAGGCCTTTTCTGCTTCTCACCCCACCCCACCAGCGAGAAGGCTGGGGGTGCACAAGAAGTTGGGAGGGGACACGGCTGGGACAGCTGACCCCAACTGACCAAAGGGATATTCCATACCATATGATGTCATGCTCAGCATATAAAGCTGGGGGAAGAAGAAGGGGAAAGGGGGGGACGTTTGGAGTGATGGCGTTTGTCTTCCCAAGTCACCGTTACGCATGATGGAGCCCTGCTTTCCTGGAGACGGCTGAACACCCACCTGCTGATGGGAAGTAGTGAATGAATTCCTTGTTTTGCTTTGCTTGCGTGTGTGGCTTTTGCTTTACCTATTAAACTGTCTTTATCTCAATCCACCAGTTTTCTCACTTTTACTCTTCCAGTTCTCTCCCCCATCCCACCAGGGGGAGTGAGCAAGCGGCTGGGTAGTGCTTAGTTGCTGGCTGGGGTTAAATGACAACAAGCAGGATGAAAGGAGGAGAAAACATTTCATACAGTTTAGTACATTAAAGTCTTCCTGGTATGAGGTGACTAACTAGAGACCGCCTTGATTTTGGAACAAAATGAAGTGAAGAAGCAGTACTGAATGCCAAGGGCTGCTTTAAAGTACTTTATAAACAACAGAACACTGAAACAACTTGATCACACTCTGGTAAGGTTTGAATCTTGAATTGGATTTCAAAGACATTTCCAAGTTGTGCAACCAGTAGGGGAGTGCCATTGCTTAAGAGGTTTTCTGGTTATTCATTTGGGTTTTTTACTTGCTACTACATTGGTATTGTGAATCTATCAAGTTTGGTCTTGGAAAAGTTGGTTTTATACTTCAGCCTTAGGATGAGTGCCCTGTTGAGTCAGGGTGTTCTGGATTAGAAATCTGTAAGGCTCAGCAAATAGCTGTTTTCTCACTATTTGAGCATGAAGACCTGAACAAGGTCAGTAACTGCACCCCCAGAAAGGCTCACCATGGTTTTGCCCATTCTTCCTGTGTGCTGTGTGTTGCCAAATGCAGGGAGCACTTGACTTACTACCACCGTGTTGTGCGTGTCTTCTCAAAGTAAGGACAACATTTTCGGAGGACGGTCATAACCAAATGTGTAAATATATTCAGACCAGTTCATTAGTGTCTCATTCAAATTAAGATGATGAACTACTCACTGAATTGCAAATGAATGTTTGCAGTGTTACATGTTTGTATCAGAAATGGTGTGGCCAGCAGGAGCAGGGAAGTGATCGTGCCCCTGTACTCGGCACTGGTGAGGCTGCACCTCGAATACTGTGTTCGGTTTTGGGCCCCTCACCACAAGAAAGACCTTGAGGTGCTGGAGCGTGTCCAGAGAAGGGCAACGAAGCTGGTGAGGGGTCTGGAGCACAAGTCTTCTGAGGAGCGGCTGAGGGAGCTGGGGTTGTTTAGCCTGGAGAAAAGGAGGCTTAGGGGAGACCTTATTGCTCTCTACGCCTGCCTGAAAGGAGGTTGTAGCGAGGTGGGTGTTGGTCTCTTCTCCCAAGTAGCAAGTGACAGGACAAGAGGAAACGTCCTCAGGTTGTGCCAGGGGAGGTTTAGATTGGATATTTGGCAAAATTTCTTCACCAAAAGGGTTGTCAAGCATTGGAAGAGGCTGGCCAGGGGCGGGGGTGGGTGACCATCACCATCCCTGGAGGTATTTAAAAGGCCTGTAGATGTGGCGCTTAGGGACATGGTTTAGTGGTGGACTTGCCAGTGCTAGGTTAACGGTTGGACTTGATGATCTTAAGGGTCTTTTCCAACCTAAACGATTCTATGTTTCGAGGGGCCAAACCTCAGCATGAGGGATTTTTCTTTGCCAGGTACATGCCCCTGCCATGCAGAAATTGCCTTTCTGCGTCAGCTTCGTCCATGTCCACAACCCTTGGCCCTCATTCTTGTTAGTCTTCTGTAGATCTCATGGCCAACAGCTCTGTGCAAGCCTGCAGTGTGTGTGGCATTTGATGTCTTGTGAGGAAATAGAAGCCTAGACAGAAAGCCAACTTGGTGGAAGAGCGAGAAGCTTGTGCACTGTGGGAAGTAAAACCAGTGTATTTCCCCAGTATGCTCAGTAAGGCTAAACAAAAGTGACTCTTGTTTTCCCCATCACAAAGGAGTTTTAAAACCTGGCTTGCAAGGAACACAAGTGGTTGTCTCCTGGCCTGTAGACAAGAACATGTTCTTTTTATCATCTGAGTTTCATCATCTGGGCATGAAGGCATCTGTGTGCTGCTATGACTAACCACTTCTCAATACAAGCTATAGAGATTGTGGGTGGGGAGGAGGGCTCCCATCTGGGGGAGGAAGAAACTGTCTCCTTTCCCTGCGCTTTTCATGAGGGGAGGACAGGTTTCAGACAGCCAGATACGTCTCAGACATATGTTTCAGACACCCTTACCCAAGCTCTTGCTGTTCTGTGCGCTGGTACCTTTAGAAGCTGGCACCTCTGGCCACATGAGACTTCTGTAGCTCTCCCTTAAGCCTTTGGTGCCTTAGGGAGTGGTAAATACCTGGAGAACATGAACTCGGCTTACTGTAGAGGTTTGAAAAAAAAAACCCCAACTTGTTCCTCAGAACTGACTCATTTTTTAAAAAGGGGTTAGCAGTATCTCCTACTCCTCTTCCCCGTTCATTTGTCATTAATTTTAACTGGCTTTATTTGAGATTTTTTAGCTGTGTTTTATCATGTATGCCTTTCAAAATGTACTGTAGCTTGAGTTGAGGGCTTCTGGGTTGATGCTGGTGTTTCCCCAGGTGAAAGCCTGGATGGTGAGAACTAAATTGTTGTTGTCTTCTAAGATCCTGGGGACCACCTTAGCATTTCAGGATGGTTGCAAAATCAAGCTGCTACCCGAACTTCCATTCTTAAGATTTAGGCTAGAGACTTGCCTTAAAAACCAAGCAGGAAAGCCTAGAGCAAAAACTGTAGCTGGGGGGGAGGAGGGAAAGATTTGCTTTGTAAATGCATTTGAGACTTTGGTAATATGAGGTGCTACTTACTGGTGGGTGACAGCATATAGGTCATGAAATGTCCAGTAGCAACAGCTGACATTGTTTTGTCCTTTTGGCATGAATCTTTGCTCCTGCCCCTGCTTCCCAATCTCTCACCCCAGAATAAGAGCTGCCTGCTCAGGCAACTTATTCTGCATGGGGAAAAAAAAGTCCCAATAACTCTTAATGCCTAGAAAAGCCAAGTGAAACTTCCTGTGGCAGAAGTAGTGGCAGTGACACAAAGATGATGCACTGAGTTAGTGATCCAGCTCTTCTAGAACATGAAATAGATCAGAAATTTTATTAAAAGAGAAAACCTTTTTTACATGTGTTGTATATTGCTAGTGCTGTGAGCAGTGTGGGAAGTGGCAGACGCTGAGTGGTGATGAGGGGACGAAATAAGAATTTCGGAGATGGGATTACAGAAGGAGAGAGGCTATACATACTTTAAAGCAGGCAGCGCTGCCATTTTTTCTGTTCCAGATCTTGGCTTCTAAAGCTTCACCACCTCTTCCCTTTCCCTTAATTAAACTCTGCAAATGATGTGGGTAGCAAAAGTCTGATGCTTGTTCTGTTGCCCAAGACATCTCTGAATGCAATTATAGGTGTAAGAATAGTTGCCTTTGGGAGTTAGCAAAGGTGGTAGAGTGGAAGCAGAAACTGAAGCAAGTGAAGAAATGTGTGTGGGGGTGTGACATCCACTGCAAGGACTAAGGAGAGCAAACCTCTTCTTTGGCAGTGCAGGGGAACCTGTGAAGGTCTGATGAATGTCCGCCCTGCAACAACACTGTAAAGCACCTGCATCCAAATGTTCATGCTTGAACATTGTGACGTTTGACCCATATTTTTGAAATATAGTTTAGTATGATGGAAGAGATTTGTCAGTTTACCTCAATATCATAAATACCTGAAGCAGCCATCTTTTATGAAGGTCTTGCCAAAGCACTAACCCACTCTGTTGGAAGCAGAGATTTCACACCACTAAGCACAACAGCAGGTACATTGAAGGCACATGCTCCGTGAAGCTACTGTAAAGATGCAAAGATCCAAGGAACTGTGATCTCAGACGAGAGGGAAAGCCGAGTCACTCTTTCAGAGTTAAACTGGTAGTTGGAGACAGGTTAGTTGTTATCAATGGTAACTACGCAGAGGCAGGTGGGATCTCTGTCACACAGGGTAGGAGGGGTCCTCCCCTGCCCTCTTAAGAACATCAGGTTGCTCCTTCCCATAGTCCTTGTCTGTAGTTTTGCCCACCCAAGCCTGGAAAGAGGCCGCCTGTGTGGGAGTGGGGATAGTAGTGCACTAAGGAGGGGAAAGAGAAGTGGGCTAGGACGGATGCACTAGGGAATGGTGTGGGGGACAGGCAGCGTGTTCTTCAGGCTGCAGGTTGTCTGTGATTGAGGGAAGGGGGTGGGTGATGGAGCAGTGGGGGTACAGAGTGACCCCAGGGAG